CGCGGCTGCGTTCTGGACGAGTTGAAGTCTCCGAATACTCTTCAAGGGCTGCCCCATGTAAGTCCTGTTTTCCAATTGAAAAGATCATTGGTGGTAAAGGGTATATGGACAAACACCAGTCCATCTTTCATAGGAACTTGTCAAAGGGAAGCTAGGACTAGGGGACCCGGTTAAGGGTTTCCCTGTGCATGTACGTAAGTCTGTCCAGTTCTGGTGTGAGGAGGAGTTAAAGCTGTCAGTTCAACATCCCAGGTAGCTCAAGCCATCAGTTCTGGATACAAAGCTTGAGCTGCCTGGGATGTTGAATTTTGCGGATTAAGCTGGGACAGCTGCGATGTTGTTTGACACACTTGAGCTTGTGGATCAAGCTGAGGGGATGTTGAACATGCTTGATCCTGCAAGGCAGACTGTGCTGCTGTTAGAGGCCCCTGGGCCGTTAAAGGCACAGCATTTATATCAAGGGAAAGGGGAGTACTATAACATGGTGAGGTTAACTCCTCTGTCAGTTTGGGGAGCTTTTCCCTTTTTTGAAAGTGGTACGGGGGCAAATTTTAGAAGAGGGTCTGTGAGTTAGCCCACACACTTTCTGAATGTCTGGGCAACAAAGGAGATTGGAGAATAAACTCATGTAGAGCTCCTCTTCAATTCACCCATTGGTGGCCAGAAAATCAGCAAATTTGTTGACAAAATCTAAATCAAAGCTGCTTTCTGGAGGCCAGGTTCCTATCTTAGGGCTAATAGTGTAGTTGACCAGACAGATGTGCAGAATGTCAACTCCTAAAGTTGCCATAGTAAGGAAAGGGGAGAAGCACATTCCACACATACTTTCAGCTAGTCAGATCTCAGATTACCACAGCAGACCTGGGAGGGATGCACCTCATTGAGGAATGTGATTTATGACACAGATTGAGGGGAGGGGAGGAACAGGGGTAAAGTTCAGCTATAACTCAAATAAGGCTAAGATCTGACTGCAAAAAATGGTATTGCCAAAATGTTCCTAATAAATGACTGGTTTTCTTTTGAAATTTGACTCGTGAATCAATTTTTTTTTAAACCTGACACAGAGGGTTTTTAGCTTCCTTTTTTAAAGAACAACCTTTTTCTCTGCAATAGGCTTTACTATGTCTTAATGGGTTAGCACGCAGTCCAGAGGGGAATGGTATCAATTGTGTGGATATTGTAATTAAACTTTTAATTTAAAAGGAGCACATAAAATTGAGCAGTGGTGCTTAACCCACCCCCCTCCAAAGGAAATAAGAACCCTTGCCAAAATTGATTTGACTATTCACTTGTTTAGTTTCATAATATTGTAGGTAAAATACTGGGAAAAATTAGGAGAGGATGTTAAAAACATAAATATTAGGCATTATTTCTGCTTTACTACTAACATTGTTTCTTCACAGATTTATAGAAATTCTATTTTTATATATATTGTAAGTTCAGTATCTTAATTAATCTCCCCACTCCCTCACTAAAATATATTAACAATATTTTTGTCATATCTATTTCAAGTTTATACTGGTGCATATTTTCAGTATTATAGTTTTTAGAACTCTAATGATGTATCAATATTTTTTTCTCTTGAATAAAAAGTTTAGTGTATAGAGTATGCACCAGTAAAAACAAACTGTATACATGACTATTTGAATTCCAGGTCATGTAATGTATATTTAATTGGCAGCCTGCATAGTAAAGATCCCATGCTGAATTACTTATTGGAATTGATAATTTATCATATATCAACTATATTCCTTTGTAACCTTGTACGGTGATTAATATGCTTTCCTGGAAGAAAGAGCAAATGAAGTTGTGAAGGTATTGTTCCACAGCAATAACTTCTAGTCTGCTGTGTCATAATCATGGTTCTAATGTAGAACTAGAAGATGGCTTTTATTTTTGTATTGTTTAACAATAGTAATTCTAATATTCAGATTTAAATGGGAAAATGTATGTAGATTACATTTATTACATCATTTCGGTGTTGGGTAGTTAATAAACTTGTATATTAGCACAATGAGTTTTTTCCTTTAAAAATATTCATTAAATTTAAGTAAGTTTACTGTTCATTTACTTTATATGCACAGATGCAGCTACTACCTGTATAACCTAATGTTTTCAGTCTCAAATCTCTATCTGTGTGGCTAGAATATTGATACAATTACTTGTGCATATGTCATGTAAATTTCACTGATCCTTGCATATATAAATATCTATAAACCCATATGCAAGCAAAAAAAAAAGATTCTGAAGAATGTGGTGCTTTTTATGTTTTGTACTTCAGTTTTTCTTAAGTATTTTTATCTTTTAATGTAATATAACATAATATTTAATTCCCAAAATATTCCCTACTATAAATAGATCATATCTGTATATCTTGAAATTATAAAACAAATTAAAATACAATGCTTAAAGATATTGAATGGAGTCTTTATTATTCCATGCTTATTGCTTCATTTTGTGGTGGCATAGTGGTTAATCTAAAAACAGAATTATAATGTATTTAGCAGTTTCTGATATCCTTGGAAATCTTTATATCTTGCCTGTTGCTAAAGTTTTGCTGTTTCCGGCTTTTAACAATAACAGTAGCAGAATTTATACTATATAGCTGGTGGTGCCAAAAATTTTAATTTTTCAATTGAAATATTAAAAAATACTACTTTTTAAATCAAAATTTGAAAAAGGTTTGAAGAATTCTTATTGTTACTGTGTTTAAATTCAGAGTCTAATTATTTCAGCTACATGTGCATTTAAGCTAGACAGCTATAGCTCATGCAATTACAAGGTAAATATGTTTTCTTCCAGCATGAAAAATTCAAACTACTGCCTTCCTTCATACACTGCTTATAAAAATTATGACTACTCAGAACCAGGAAGACACAATGAACAGCCCGGTCTTTGTGGTCTAAGTAATTTGGGAAATACGTGTTTCATGAATTCAGCAATTCAAGTAAGTGTTTCATGTCAAATAAGATTTTACTTCATTATATAAAGAGCTTTTAAAATGGAGACTGCTAGTAGAATGGGTACTTTTGGTCCTGCAGTATTATCAGAATTTCAAATTTACATTGATTTATGTGCTTATTAAATCCACATAAATTATTAAGAAGCAAATAGTTATAGAATCTTGCTTGGCTATGACTTGATTCCTTGATATTTATTTATTGTTTTTCTATAATTTCTATCATACCCACTAATAAAAAACTTTTTAAAAACAGAGCCAAAGACCAGGAGCATAAGAAAATAAACAGAGTGGACAACCTTTAAAAACAAAATACTTATGAAGGAAAGTAAAGCTGATAGCTATATTGCATCTGTTATATTTCATTTGGTGCATGTAGTTGAGTCTCAATTCAAATGTTTTCACCCCAGCCTTTATCTTGGTTGGAATTGATATGAAGAGACAGATGTGCATTAGTTGTATATTTTCCCATAACTTCAAATAACCTAGGCCATCAGTTTCATGGGTAACATGAAGAATACAATAGAACTTTATACAGGTAGTCCTTGATTTACGCCCGCAATAGGACCCCCAAAATTTGTCATTAAATGATGTTATTAAGTGGGGTATCACATGATGACCAGACTCAATTTTATGACCGTTTTGCTGCGGTTAAGTTCAGGGGTGGGTTTCTACTGGCATTACTGCCAGTTCGGTGCGCAGTAGCCTATAAATAGGTCTGTGCATGTCCAGAACATTTTAAAAAGTCAAAAAAAGATGTTGCCACTGTTTAATGTCTGAAACTCAGCCAAGAGCTGAACTGAAAAGCAATCACTTACTCCACTACTTTAATCAGATATTGATAAGAAATCTCTAATTGCCTTCTGGGTCCATGTTTTGTGGTGGTTGTTACTGTTATTATTAATTTCTCTGAAGAAACTGATACCACCTTTTTTCTGAAAAGAGATGAACTTTCATGTGTAATCAAACCCTTATTGGATATTATATAGCATCTTGATAAAGGTCAAATATAGTTTTAATCAACTTAGTTATCTAATAAGAATAGTCTGGGTGATTTTCTTTTATTGAGACTGCATAATTGTGGAATCCAAATTGTAATTATTGTGAACAGTTTTACAGTATATCAACATAATCTTTTTGTCACATATGGACATATAATTTTATATCATCTTTGCCTCTAATCTAAATTTGGTAGCCTTTAAAAACTTAATATTTCTATCCTGAGAAAGTGCAATAGTGGAAAAATTCACTACTCTGCATTATTTCAATAAAATGGGTTTAATAACTAGTTCTTATCTGAATTCAGTTGAACAGCACAAGTTATTTCTCCAGCTGCATTCCAATCATCAACACAAACAGAGCAGCACCATTCCATATAGAAATATTCCAGAGTCTCTGTTTTCTATTATATTAATCAGTCTAGCATGAGGAACTTGATGACCTGCATTATATTATTGTTTTGATTGGAACTGGGGCCTAACAGTAAGCCACAAATTATCCATTTCTGCATTAATTTAAAATAATCTCAAAATAGTCTTCCCATTCTTACAGGAGAGAAAAACTATGGGAGGTATCTCAATAGGAGTCATTTAGTTGTGACAGAGGCTAGATATTAATTCCTCATTGTTTAATTAACATTCTTTTCAGTCAAGAAAACTGAATGAAGCATGTGTTTATAACTAGTAATGTTTTCAGACCCAAAATCCTAAGGACTAGGAAAAGCAAAAAGACTTGATAAGGAAATATGAAAACTGAAGATGACATTGAGAGGTTCCATTATTATGCATTATACAAAAGTGCTTATTTTTATTCATATTTATTTTTAGTGTCTCAGCAATACACCTCCACTCACAGAATATTTTCTTAATGATAAATATCAAGAGGAGCTAAACTATGACAATCCATTAGGAATGAGAGGTGAAATTGCAAAATCTTATGCAGAGCTCATCAAGCAGATGTGGTCAGGAAAATACAGCTATGTCACTCCAAGAGCTTTTAAGGTATGCGCTAACATAGTTGGATCCTAGAATGCTTAATTTGCTTTCAGTTATATGATTCTTCAACACAAAAAAAGTATTAAAAATTAAAAATGTACATATATTAATAAAATAGGCCCTTGAAAACCACACCTGCTTGTTTTTGTTGTTTGTTTTGATGGGAGATTCCTATAAATTGCAGCAATGATTCCTTTGCTTTTCCTCAATCTTATTTCACAGTATTACAATTATGCATTTAAAATCCATGAAATTAAAATACATTTTCCTTGATTTAACAAACATGCCTTTGCAATGTCACATGACTCCACTATATATTCCCCAGACACAGGTAGGACGATTTGCACCCCAGTTTTCAGGATATCAGCAACAAGATTGCCAAGAATTGCTGGCATTTCTTCTAGATGGTTTGCATGAGGATTTGAATCGTATTAGAAAAAAGCCTTATATTCAACTAAAAGATGCTGATGGAAGACCAGATAAGGTAATGTACCTTTTAGATAATAAGCCTACATGATCTGGACAAATGTTATAAATGCAAAAATGTATCTAAATAATCTAGACAATTCAATTCACATCTGTTGCACTGTAATGGTATGTTGGAATGATCTTGGTGAGAGCCATAGCCAGGAAAACAGTCAGATGAAAGGCAGCTTATCCACAAAAGGAATGTGGACATGGCAAACATCTCTGAAGAGACTTTCACTAGTTTCTTGGGTTGTAAAGTCAATGTGAGAGAAATGTACTTTTATACCTGCACAATTGTTTTCAGCTTTGTGAGATAGTCCAGACAGGAAGCATGAATTAATTCTATGGTAAAGTTACATTAGGAGAATCTTGCATACCTGAAAATAGCTTTGAGTATAGATCATCCTGGAGAGGGTCTGTCTATATGGTTGCTAGACGTTAACACTGACTTCTAGATGATAAAACCAGAACTGCCCAATAAACTGAGCACAGGTGAAAAGCATGATGTCATGCCTGGTGTGCACGGATTTCAGCTTTCTGGTCTGAAGAGTTCCCATTCATATTTTTGAGCAAAGAAATTTCTGTTCTGTATACAGAATTTCATCATTGAAACTGTTAAAGAAAAGTTGGGGGGGGGCGACTTATGTTAATGCTAGATCTTAATTATTAAAGTGCTTGTTAGCACTTTGTTATTAACATTCTATGAGAAAACCTGGCTTGAAATATGGCATTTAAATAATATTTCATTTAACTTACCAGCTTGGGGAAAGACAGGAGAAGGACAATTAAAAGAAGCCAAATACCAGAAAGTGTACCACAGTCCTTTGAACATACTAGATTCTCTATTCCTGTCACCATATGCAATTCTCCCATTCTAGGTGCTTTTTTTCACACAGTCAACATAAAATAGACACCTCTCTTCTCTACTTCTCCCTCCCCTCCCCTTTTGGCATTGCTCTATATATCTCCTTTTCAATTGCTATTTTCCTATCTCATTCCTATCATATCTACTTGCTATCTACTTTCTTGCCAGTTCTCTCTCTCTTCTGTCTGCTCATCATTAAACAATCCTAATTTGCCCCACTGCTACTCACAGACTGTTTTCTCACCATTCAGTGGCAAGAAGTTGCAGGTTGCTAGAAATGCTTCAGAACTAAGCACTTATTTATAATTGCTCATTATTTTTATGTTCCAAGAAATTGTCAGTGGAGTAAGATGATTGATAAATGAAAGCCACCATTTTTTCCATTTAAAAAAGAGAAAAAATATATATGACCAATATGCTTTATGGGGACTGGGGAGATGTCCATGAATGCTTTCAGATCCTATATTTAGGGAATTAACTATCTCAAATTGGCATTGCATAGATACTGTGGTTAAAGATTCTTACTTTTGATTCTATTTCTTGGCCTTGAACAGTTGGTCCTATTACATATTTGAATAGAATTTTATGCCCAATGGAGACCTTAGAAATTGTCATCAACTTTGTTTGAGATAATCTGGCATTCATAATGAATATAATATAAAGAGGCTAATACAGTATATGAAGATACTAAATGTTTATCTTTCCCCAAAATTACCCAATTACGTTTTCTTACTGTAATCTACTGGATAACATTGTTAGGTAGTATATGGTACTTATAGGTATGTGCAAGATGTTAATTTCATTTAAATATTTAATGCTTCATATAACTTACTTGTACTATTTTAACTTCGTCTTAATTTAGGTGGTTGCTGAAGAAGCTTGGGAGAACCATTTGAAACGAAATGACTCCATCATTGTAGATATATTTCATGGACTTTTTAAATCAACCCTAGTTTGTCCAGAATGTGCCAAGATCTCTGTAACATTCGATCCCTTTTGTTATTTAACTCTTCCTCTACCTATGAAAAAAGAACGCAGTTTGGAAGTTTATTTAGTTAGACTTGATCCACTTTGTAAACCCATGCAGGTATATATGCCATGTTTTACAGCAATAGTTTCTTTAATATGTTAATTGAAATAGAGTTTTATTTATTTTTATGAATTTTAAGTCATATTTTCAATTTGATATTGTGGTCCTTTCTCTTAAACTATGCATATAATTTGTAACTTTGTATAATTTATAGTACCATCATAAAGATGGAAATTATTCACCCCTTGAATCATAATATTTGCTGTTATTATTACTACAGCAATATAACACAATAAGATAGTAATTTGTTATGAATACTAGAACTATTATAAGACAAAAATGTATGATATAAAGCATTTTGATTTTTCAACATGATTGATATTAAATAATATACTTTACAAATATAATTTTCATTTCCATTTCCTCATAATTTAATCATATTTCTAGTTAATGAATGCAAGAGCCATGTTGGTAGATCTTGTTCTGTTAAGAAAATAGCCGCCTCTCCACTCAGATTACAGAAATGATGGGAAGAAAAAAGAAGGTTGGGCTTCTATTAGTTAAAGGTCCCAATCAGCAGCTATTAGTTAAAGGTCCTAATCTTTTTATCTTTTTATCATAATTTAAGAAAATGTATCTGTTTTAGCATTCTCATTATGTTATCTGTTCAAAAAATCTGTTGGACTGGACAACTGTATTATTACATTAGATTTGGTATCTGACAAGTTAAGGAACAGCATTATACTCAAGCTGCCATTCTCAAGAATCTTTGTATTTTTAAATGAGGTTGTATTCGTAAAAGAATTGGCAGAATATGTTACAAGGCTTCCTTTAACAGTGATGAAGTGGAAAGGCCAACCATTTTGTCCCAGTTTCTATGTCACTCCAAATCATAAGCTTGCAGTTGAGTTTATGCATTCCTCAAAAGGAAATAAAATACATCATTATTTTTTCCAGTTTGTGGTACACTGGAACTCAGTGTTATATAGAGATTCTGGGCAAATTTTGAAAGCATTTGTTCCTGCAAAATGCAGCTTACAATTTCTGCGAAAAAATCCTTTTGTGTATTAGGAAGGCAACCAGAATAGTGCAAATTCAATGCAATATTTTTCTTTCTTTATTCAGATCTGTTTATTTTATTAAATTGATTTGTTTGGAAAATAATATCTTAAAGGTTCAGCAAACAATAATAACATACAGTATTGGGGTGAGAAATACTAGATTAGTTAATAGATGATAATGATTCATTCTAAATTATATATATAATGGAGGAATATTATGATACGTTACTGTAGCTTGAAAAACAGTAGTATGAATTGTAGGCTGATGGCTTTGAGATTCAGATATGAACGTTTGTTTGAATGCTGCAAGAGGAATAGGCTGTATACTTTTCATGGTAGGCAATTGGATTTTATCACCAAGTTGTTCATTAATAGATTCCCTTTCCACTACCAAATATTTCCTATTAAGCCACTGTCATAGCTAGTAATTCCTTTCCTTTAAAGATGGACTAGCGACTTTTATTCATATATGTTTACAGCTCATTCAAAAATTAACTCCCTAACTATATTTCTTTTCAAAAGCTCTTTTTCATATAGAATTTTCTTATGTTACTTCAATAGTAAATATTGAGAATTATATCCAGTTATCTTCTTTGTGTTTTAAGAATAACAATATTGTATTTTATTTTCTAGTACAAAGTAGTAGTACCAAAAATTGGAAATATACAGGATCTCTGCATCGCATTATCAACTTTGTCAGGTGTTGCTGCAGATAAGGTATGATAATTCTTAGGTGATTGTACATCTAACTAAATATTATCTATACATCTAAACAAATATAAAATAAATTGTGTTTCTTTTTTAGATGATCGTTACTGATATATATAATCATAGGTTTCATAGAATATTTACAATGGATGAAAATCTAACCAGTATTATGGAACGTGATGACATTTATGTGTAAGTTCAAATGTATAGTCAAAATATTTTTCTCATAAACTGTATGTGATTTAGTTGAATTATATAAAATATATCCTAATTTAAAATGAGTATTTTGTGTTTTTGTTTGATTCCATTTTTGTTGCTTTAGATTTGAAATTGCCATCAACAGAACTGAAGATACAGAGCAAGTTGTAATTCCAGTTTGTTTAAGGGAAAAGTTTCGCCATAGTGGTTATAGCCATCATAGTGGTTCAACACATTTTGGACAACCTTTTCTTATAGCAGTGCCTAGAAATAACACAGAAGATAAACTGTATAATCTTCTGCTATTAAGAATGTGGTAAGTGTAAAAGAGAAATTCTATGGTATATTTAACTTTACATTGGAAACATTTGCACATCACAAATGTAGATCTTCTAGCAAAAGGTAAAAGACTTTAAACTGCTTTTTCTGATTCCATGGTTAATCTTAAAAGGAAGGATCAGCAATGTCTGCATTTATTCACCTATTTGGATTGGGAGGTACTTCAAACGGTGACTCACGCTCTTGTCACCTCGAGGCTGGATTATTGCAACGCGCTCTACATGGGGCTACCCTTGAAAAGCGTTCGGAGACTGCAGTTAGTCCAGAATGCGACTGCGCGAGCAATAATGGGTGCCCCGAAGTACACCCACGTTACACCTGTCCTCCGCAAGCTGCACTGGTTACCAATTGGTCTCCGGATGCAATTCAAGGTGCGGGTTATCACCTTTAAAGC